TCCACCTGGAATGCATAGAAAAGGAGAAAAATATCCAGCAGTTGTGGTTGCTCACACCTGGTGTGTCAGACCATGTTGAGCTGAGTGGAGGGAAACCATGGTGTCTCTGTGAACTTAAGAGCAGTTCTTCACAGCCTCCTGGAGTCATTGTCTCATGGGGACAAATTGAAGCTGCCACACCAGTAGGTAGGGGGAACAGGCACGTGCCAAGGAGACTTATGTTGGGGACAAGAAAGGGGCATAGAGCAGAACTGGCCTGACAGTGTCCACTCCTTGATGGTGTGCAAAGAGCTGGCAGATACAGGCGCTCACTGCTCTCAGAAAGAGGTGACTGAAGGAATGATTTTCCAAGTACACCAGTAAAACAATTCCTCCAGCTTTAATTTATCTACATCTTATTTGACACCTTGGGGTAATCATTTGGCCTCTGCTGCTCCATCCACGTCCTCGTTTTTCTAATTTCTGTCATGTGTTCCTAATTAATATTGCCCAAACCTATCCTTTTCTCTCTCTTCTCTGCTAAAACATTTTCCTAGAGCACGTCTGTCTCTGTATTTCACTAGTTTAATGTCTTCAGATGCCTTCTTAAAATGTGTCTTGTATGACAACAGTTAAGTGCTCCTGAAATTAGGACTGTATTGTAGCGTCACCCTACGACAGAGTAGTTAGCCATGTGTGGGCAGCGTGAAGAATGGCTCTTCTCACATTGACTACTTGCCTTAGCAGCCTTAATAGTGCAATTTTACAGGAGTTTTCTTTTTGCCTTGTACACAAATTGGTCATATTTAAATTTTCTGCATAACTGAGAGGGGAATTATCACCAGAACCATTGAGACCAGCACATGGATGTATTTCATGTCCTCTGGCATGTAGCATACCTACACAGAGAAGAACTTACACACATGCAGTGGGAAGATGAGAGACCCAGTGTAGTCTCTGCCTTGCACGGAGACAAGCTCCAGGGTCCTGCAGAAGTTGACGTTCAGGCTGTGGCACACTGTACCCCTGTGCAAGACTTCCTAGATCAGCCTGCTGTGAAAATGAGAGTCACTGTCTTAAAGGAGTATCTGACTAAGTGTAATTTTTTCCTGAGTGAGACAATGATTCCTGCTGTGGCCCTGCCATTTCACTGGGAATGGACAGCATGGCCCAGTAGGAGAAACACGCTGGCTGTGAAAGATATGCATCGGAAGAGGCTACAGGTATCAGATGGGCATTGAGTGAAGGACTAGTGAAAGAGGAGAGAAAAGGGCAGAACAGTGAAGAGCTATGAAGGTGAAATCAATAAGTCTGAATAAGAGAGGGTGGACAAGGCAGTGCCTGAGGAGAAACCCAAGGAGATGCTGATATGGTTGGTGTGATGGAGGCTCAGGCCATAGGGATATAGAGGGTGTTGGTGAGTGGGAGGGAGAAGTGTGGTCTGCACTTGGCCATGTTACAGCTGCATCAGGATAAGGGGGGAAAATAAAAGCCAGAGGTTTGAAATGGTGTAACAGAAAATGAAGGATTTGGGTCTAGCCTGGATGTGTGCAGCAGAAGAAAAGTCGAAGGCTAAGAAGACTACCAATTTAAATTACTTTTTTTCAGTGAGAAGTCAGGGCTGTTTCTCAGGCAGTCTTACACACTACAGCAAGCAGTCCTGCTATGGAAAACAATAGACATAGTTTGAGCACTTTCACATTTTATACATGAGATTGGTGTTTGCTGTAGCTTGCACACCTTGCTGCTTGTTGTCAGCCAGGAGGCAGCAGTCTCTGAATTGGGAAAGTCAAAGGCTTTATGACTGTAATGTGGTTTCTTCAGCACATGTGGATGCTAGTGGTTCCCTGCAGACTCATGGATTCCAGAAACCAGCAGAAAGGCTTGTGGGTGATCTTGCTTTCTTCCTAACACTCCCATGGCTCTCCCTGAACTATCTTGCCTGTAATGGCCAAAGTAGACAACTGTGCTGGAAATGCAGGAGCCAATTCAGAGCCAAATGGGAAGGAATAAAAGTCCTATTTTGAGATACTGCTCTACTGACTCACTCAGTTTGGGCCCTCTGCTTACAGATAGTTCAACAGTGAGACAAAAGCAACAAATGAAGTATTTTCTGTTCTTGTGGAAGAAAACATGGTGACATTTTTCTTCATAGAATTTCTTAAGTTTGTCAAAAGCAGGAATTCTTGACAATTTGTCGACAACCTGGGGCTAGACTCTGTTACAGCAATTTACTTGGGATCTGCATAGCAGATACATTTTAAAAGGTCATATAATGGTGGAATATCTTTCTGGGGCCAGACAGAGTTGTCCCCCCAGGCTATGAGTTGGAGAGCTCTAGCTGGGTTAAAAAAAAGTGAAACAGAATCCAAATGCTATGGTTTTACATGTTGAATTTTGGGAAATGGTTAAGCAGAGAAGGAAAGAGTTTTCTTACTTTCAAAGTTAACAAAATACCTTCTTTTCCTTTAGGAAAAATTATTTTTTTTTTTTTTTTTGAACTGGCTTTCTGAACAAAAAATTATAATCAGCGCCACCTTCAGTGGACTTAGCAAACAAACGAAAGGCCTGATTTTCTGAAACAGCCTCTACATTTTTACATCGCTTTAAAATTGAAGGTCAACAGGGTGGGAGGTTTTGAAGAGCAGAGTGACATACTTGTGTTAATTAGCTACCTGTACTTCTGCTATTTCTATCCTTATGAAGGTGGTGCACATGGCAGCATAGTCAACATGTTTGTCTGAGACCAACAGTCACAGCAGGCACTCAGGTTCATGGGAAAGTAAGTTAAAGCCAGAGAAAACTAAGGCTTGAGCCCTGGGATGCAAAACTGACTGGAGTTGGATATTTGTGTCCCAGAAACTAGTATAAGGTGACTAAGATCCACTAACAATCCCTAATTCCTGCTTTTGCTTGTCTGTGTGCTTGAGTCAACACATCCAAAGGATACCTTCCTGCTTTCAGGGTGGAATATCCCACTATTAGCTTTGAAGGTTACTTCATCAAACAAGCTGATGTTTAGTTTCTCAGGCTCAATGTTAAGAAAAATTTCTGCTAAGATGCCCCAGTTCCTGCTCAGCTATCAGCCACAAGCTCACAGTACCTTGGAAGCAACAATAAAACCAGCCCCACAACCCTGCCCCACAAGCTAGGTATGTGTTGCTATCGTCATGAAGCCTTGTAGCCAGAAAGCCTTTGAGCTAAGAGGAGACAAGGTGAATACCTGTCCAGAAGATACTCTCAGTTATTGGACTTGGCTCTCACCTCATTTCTCCATTTACCTTTGGTCTTCCCACTTGTCAATATGGGGAAAAACAGGCTCAGTAGTCCCCTAAATATTTGTGATAGGAATGGCAATTTCATTGCCAAAAGTCCATTTCTAACTGGTGGATATCCTTGAAGCATTAGTTTTCAATATCACCTAGAGCTGTGCTGGTCTGCTCATCTTGTTATGAGCTTTTAGATGGTTAAAGGTCTAAAAAGAAGGTGGGCTCTGGAAAGAATGGGGCTAATTCATAATTCCTCTTTTGAATTTCCCAACTACCGCTTCATACCAAAGTCTTTGTCCTTCATTCCTCTAGTGCTTGAGAGTGCAGCAACCCAATGACTACTGGTGAAGGGTAATGCTGTGTCCCCTCACTTCAGGGGACAGAGGTCCTTCAGTCAAAGGGGAAACCAGCCTGTTCAGACCCTCTATGGATGGGCAGGAGGAACTGTGTATAGAGAAGGGGCATGAAACTCTTGGAAGTACTATCATCTGACATGCACCATAGCTAGCAAGGGATGAGGTAAGAGTTTTCTGAGGTGGGCTGTCCAGGAGGGAAAAGGGGAAGGCAGGATGGAAGGCAAGCATAGTGTGGAGACTGAGAGTGGCTTTAAAATCAAATGAAAGTCTAGTAAGTCTTCAGTCTGGAAATTTGCCTGAGAGACAGAGTCCAGATCAGCTGCAAGTAACAGGAAAAGAAAAGCAATAGTTTGTCCCATTGCGCTTTTCAGGGAAGGCTGCAAAGAAGGCAGGAAGGTGGAGAACCAGAAATTACACATCCCAGTGGTGGGCACATGGATGAGGCAGATCCCCTGTCCAACAGGTGGGATAGGATCAAATGTGGCAGGGTCCCCATGCTGCTGCACTGCCAGAAGGGACCCTTCACAGCAACAGCTTTGCAAACAGCAGGATCCCACTGAGACACCATGCACACGTCACCACCTGGCTGTTGGCTGGCTGAGCCTTCCCGTTGTGGGTGCAGCTCAGGGTGTCCCTAGCTGGTGGCTCACAGGCAGCTGAGGCTGTGCTCTTTCTACGCTCCAGCTGGTGGGGTTGAGCCAGCAGTGAGGCCAGAGCTCTGCGGGCATGGTGCAGGTTTCAAACCCAGCCTCTTAGCATGGCCTGTCAGCTGAGGCAGAGGGTTCGCTCGGTCTATCTCTATCTGCTCTGCTGCTGGCTCGGGTCCAGCGGTCTCGGAGCATGGCTGCCTGTAATCCGCTGAGCAGTCATCCCCCTGGAAGACCAGGCTTTCAACTGATGCACAGCCCTTGTGCCCTTGCAGTCTAATGCATCACAGCTGCTGGAAAGCTGCCCCCCGCAGCTCTGTCTTCCCTTCAACCCCATGACCTGTTTTTCCTTTTCCTTAGGTACAGAAATTCCCCTTCTGCCACAAGCTCCCACTGCTGACCCTGTCAGCATTTTACCTACCCCCACAGCCACCTCCATTTTGCTCCAGGTGCTTTAGGCCTTTCTGTACCCTCCCCACCTCCCCTTCCAAGGGAGGGTATTTTCCACCCCACCACCAGTAGCCACAGCACCCTGCTGCTGGTGAGATGCCAAACCTTCACCTCTAAGCAGTGCACACAACTCTGAGCATGAGACAAGTAGGAGAGAAAGAGGGAAGGGGGAAAGTATCGACAGGAGTAAATTGAGAGAAATCATAAAGCTTAAGCAGAAAGAAAGCAGTTTGAAAGGTAAAGTATTCAGAGAAAGCCCTTTCCTGGATGAATCTAATTGTTTTGTTATCTTTACCCACCAAAGCATTTACTTTGGTTTGTCGCCCGATCCACAAACACTTTCGAGGAGATGACATTACCGAAAGGCAGGAACATCTGCATCAGCTCAGCATCCCCAAACTCCTGGGGCAGATGGTAGATAAACAGGTTACAGCCCTCTGGTCCTATCAAGAGAAAAAGAAGACCCATGAATGGAGAGAAATAGGATATGAGGAAGCACATGGTGGAGATTTACTTTGGCATCTCCTCTCTCTGACTAGTGAGGGGTCACCTCTAGGAAGCAGTCTGTAGACTCTCAGAGGAATGGACAAAGCAGAAGACCAAGAACTCATAAAGTCACCTAGAGGCTGTACTAACTTCATTAACCTTCCCAGGACAGACACCAGGGTAAAATCTAGAGACAGAGGAGTGCACCAGCACATGTGGCCATGGAAAGACAGAATGGAGGAATAAGAACAAAAAGAATGAAAGAATGTGGTTCATAGTTTTTCTTTGCTCCTCATAATCTCATTTAATCTGTAGAGTTTTGGGCGACCCACATTAACCCTTGCCTCTTCTCAGTGTCTGCATGCAGAATTTTCATTATCTTTCTTGTACCTGTGTGAGGACTGTGATGACAAGTAGAAAGATATGCACAAACCCACAGGCTTATTTTGTTTTGTGGAATTTTACATTCAACCCCCCAGCTTGACTTAGCCTGAAGACTCCCCCAAATCTGGACAGTTTGGCCAAGTCCTCCATTCTAGAGGGTTCTGCAAGAGAGATTACAGATGGATTTAAATCCAAATTACTGGACAAGAGGAACTGCCTTTTTTGCCTCAGTGCTGTAACATATACTCTTACAGACTTCAGAGGGTGCTTGGAAAAATATCAGAGAGGAATCTTTAGTTGGAATATGCAGTTTTATTAAAGTAGAGACCCTTCAAAAATGTTCTGTTGAAATTGTATTTTGGGGCAGAAAAGGGAGAATCTGCCTCTGGTCAAATAGCCTAGAATGAAACTTTTCAATGTGACTTTTATTTTTAAGGATGCTGTACATGAGCAAAAGTCAAAAGGGAACAGGTGTCTAAGTGGTTTTTGGAAAAAAAAACCAACAAAAAACCCAAGAACAGCAAACAAACAACCCCCCAAGCATTTAAACCCCTTGCAGTGTTCACTAGCAGAAAACTCCGTAGTTTGAGGAGGCACGGATTGTTTTTTTTCACGGTCTTATTTCCAAAGGTACTTCGAGCTGCTGCTCAGCTCTGCACTGACCTCAACAGGTATATCCATATCTGCTTTGCTCAGGGGGCTTGAGATGAAGGGGGTACAGTGCATGCTCCTTGCCACAAGGGTAAGAGGACAGAGGGAAGGAGGGTATCCTCCTTCCACCCAGCCCATGTACCTACAAGCCTGTGACCTGACTCAGCCAACTTTCCCCCATTTACATCTGGGACACAATGTGGGGAAGGAAGGCGTTTTTTAATACTCTCGTTTTCTTCATCAGGGCATAATTATGGTCTCATAACACAGCAAATTACAACTTTGCCTTTCCTGTTAGGGAGAGGAGTTCTCCTAAATGCTCCCACCTTTTATTAGCCATTACTCATCTCCTCGGCTGGCGGGAGAAGTACGGCAAAGTCAGGATTCTGACAGATGCCCATTTAAAGCTCATTAAAATTCCTGGGCCTCAGCGTGCTTGAAGTCACAGACTCTCCACATTTCCTTTTGGATTAATGGAAAATGAAGCCCTAATGAATATTTGCTAAGCACAATTTTCCCCACTAATTTGCTAAAAGGACTGTCACGAAGGAACAGCTGATCCTTTGCATCATCTTGTGCATTTCCTAGAGGTCATGAGAATGGTAACAGGGTTTCTTCCAAATAGAGGGATAGTGGTACAGTGGGATAATTAACTAATTAGGCACCCGGTCATCTGCTTAGCTAAATTACTTTTGAACCTCAGTGGCCCACAATCAGGCTCCCCTATTTCATGCCAAGCTTTTCCATCTTCCCCCCACCTCCCGTCTGCCTCTTCCTTAGTATCCTCTCTCAGCAACTATCCCTTCTTCTGCGCTTGCTGCAGTTCATTTCCACACAATGTGGAGTTATTGGCATGGTAAACTGGATATGAAACAGTCTGAAAGTGTTAAACAAACACCGACCCCCTTAGGTGTCTGTTAGAATTGAGAAAATTCTGCCCAGGAGAAGACCACGGTCCAGAATAGCAGGGAAAAATTCATTCCTTCATCTGAATGTGCCCCAGAGCACTTCTGCTGTGAGATTTGAGATCCACATTATAATGGAATGGGTAAAATCTTGGCTTTGCTGCAATTAGTGGCAAAATTCCCACTGACATCACCAAAGCCAGCAGTTTGCTCTGTTAAAACTGGCAAATTCTTTCAAAAATACCAGCTGCATTTCCTGGGGTCTTGGATGTGTTGTTGATGAGTAGGGATTCTGCTTGCATGTGCTGAGAAACACCTACTAAGGCATAAGGCAGACCAGGAGGCACACAACTTCATCTACACCAGGTTTAGAGGTTGGGCTCAAGGAGAGAGCAACCCTTAGTTCACCTTGAAATCAGCTTTGCCTCACACTGCTCAGAGACTGAGAGGAAGAGACCAAGGAGGATGTGAAAAAGCAAAGACTGTCCTCAAAGCCCAGTTCAGCTCTGTAATGTGGCTGGGAAACCCATGCTGTGGCTTCCCATACCAACTCAGACATTCAAGGCCAAATTCATTCTGTTCCCAGCTACAGAGGGTTTTTGCTAATTTCCAATGCTGAAAACTGCACCTGCTACTGAGAAATAACCTGGGGTAGTTTGATTTGTTTTACCATCCTCACACATGAAAATTCTGCCATTAGAATTTAACAAGCAATTTCTTGTTAAATCCATCCATCTGTAAGTTACCCATCACAGTTAGACTCCTTGGTAAAGAATTCACAACACAAGATCTGTCTGCCTCAGCCCTCCTACCTTGTTGGTTTTTTTTTTTGCCTGAGTCAGGTTAATTTGGGCACTCCATGGAAGATTTTGTGTTTATGTGTATGGCCACCTCTTCGTGTATATGTATATATTTTTAAGAAATCAAAGGCATGAGCTGTTCAGCTCAGAATGCTATGAAAAGGTAAGTTAGTTTTCAGTGCACACATGCAATGAGTTTCAAAGGACTCAGGATCACTGGAGCAAGAGGAAGATCACAGCTGGAATGGCAAAACCTTAGTGAAGACTCCAACTGTCTTGTTGGAGAGAAAGGTCTTACTTTGGACTGAGTTAATGGATCATTGGAGATCAGTATACTTGGCATTTCAGGGCTGAATACAGTACTATAATTATTTACCACACAGTTTATTTTGGTTTTCAAAAGACCCGTAAGTCAGCTTGAAATCTAACCCTCATGACACATTATGAGAAGAGAATCAAGGTTCATTTCTATCCTGACATCTAACATGGCTCTTGGTTTTATGGCTTTAAGTTACAGATATTTCTGTTCATTAATACACAAGAAGCACAGATAGCCTTGATTTGAACAAAAGGGAAAGAAAAGTTTTAAATAACGCATAGTTTATGAATAGTCTGTAAATTACAGGCAAACCATACTGGATAATGGAAAAACCCTTGACTGAGGGCACAGAAACAAATGGTAGAGAACTCTGTGGTGTGTCCACGTTGATTTGGCTTGGTTAGACCTGAGCTGCTATGCCATTGCTCTGCCCGTGCTCACCCTCCAGCTCATTGTTAGTTTTTTCGCATGGGGCAGCCGCAGACCAACCTATCCCTGGGTGTCCACTGTCAACGTGAGTAAACTCCATATACCTGTGCTGATATCAGCTGTCACTGCATCCCCAACACCAGGAATCAGTGTCATAAGGAAAGGCTGTGACTACACTGGTCTTACAACAGTAATTAAAAATGGGTTGTCCCATAAGGTTCTGTGAAGTTAGCCTGCAGCCCTTTGATCAGCTGCACACCTCACCCCTACAGCAAATACTCAGAGGCTGGAATTTCATTGCCGCTTCTGCATCTGCTTGCTATTCAGTCCCCAGCATGTTTGAGCACGGGGCAGATAAGAGTCACAAGCCTGCACCACTTTATTTTAATATCCAAATGTACTTACGAGTTTCAGAAACTACGTCAAGATGAGTAATACCATAAAAATTTAGAATTACCCCCAAGTTTTGCCTGGTTGACATGGCCTGAATCAAGACTTCATCTCTAGCTTTGATGATTTTGGATGTGTTCCACCCTATCCACCCCATCATCTGCCGGCAGCCTCAGCCCTCACATGGAAGTAATGACTAATCTCCACAGGAACATTGCAGCAGCCAAGCGGCTCTGGGCTTGTTATCCAACCGGGATGCAGGAGCAGAGAGTTAGCATTGTTATTAACAATGTGATCATCAATGTTATTGTTGTGGTAGGGCTGCTTCATTAATGAATCAATGTTTGTGCACATCCTTGCAAACATACTCTTCTCAGCACTGAGCATTATTATTATCAGAGTTCCTTCTTGCTGTGTTTTCCTGTTAAAGGTTAGAGACACTTAAAGATCTTGACCCTTTACTAAAAGGAAGTGTCATGCCTTAAAGATTCTCTCTCTAGCAAGCAGCAGAGAAAGGCACAGCATCTAAACACTGCAGGAAAACAGAGGACACTGGGAACAGCAACCTGCATTGGACTGGTGATTCATCTTACATATGTGGCCCCCAACCATCCTCAATACCAGCTGCTTACAGGAAGGAGCGAGGAGTTATGAGATAACTTGTCCACTGGGTGACACTCACCCTCAACCCACAGAGACATGTCATGCCTTGTGAACACAAGGGTCTTTGGGCAGCGGGTCTTCAAAGTGTGCACAACCCTTGTTTCTGATGGTTCCTGGCAAAATGCTATGCTGAGCAATGATCTGCTCGCCATTTTGTCCTATGCTTAATCTAGCCCCAGTAAGTAATAAAAAGCAAAGTCCTTCAGCATGGGGGAAACATCTCTGTAATGATACGTTAGGTCTGTGCATCTGTTCTCACAGCAGGGACATGTACTAGAGCTAATCAGGAGCTGGAAGTTGTGTTCCCCAGGAAATTCTGACATCGGAAAAAAATTAATTCCAAATTAGATCGAAATGCTGACATTTCTAATTTTCTTACAAAATGAGATTTCTTCCCCAAAGTAGTTCTAGGCCATCAGAATGTTTTAGTTTGATAGTGTAATCTTGATTCATTTCATTCTGACTGTTAGACTATATTAAAATATTAAATGTCATTATATATATATAATAACACGTATAACATAGAATATATCTGAATTAGTGATCTAATAGAGGATAAAAGGTGAAATGTAATTATTTAAAATGAGATTGTCTACATTAAGCTGAAGCACCTGGCTTAAATGCCTCACTTAGGCAAGCAGTTCCCTCTTCTTGTCAAAAGGGAGCAGTGGACTCCCTGGAGGACAGTTGGGACTACCCGAGTGCCTCTGAGGATCCCACTGCTCCACACTGACTGTAAAGGGAATATTACATGGCACGGTTACCTCCCAAAATATTTACATGCAATGGTGGGAGATTCACCTCTCCTTACTTTTCCTGTCTCCGGTGAAACCATCCAGTCCTGTGGACTATATAACCCAGGCTCCTCTCATAGTCAATGTAAAGACATAGGTACTCTTACTACATGATTCATCTCATCCTGATATAGAGATTGTACTCTAAAAGGGCTGATTTCTGTTTCCAGATTATCAAAGGAAGCTGAAAGCACTAGATCAGCTCCTCTAAATAGCAGGTCCTCTCTCTCTAAATAGTAGGTGCCTGAAATCATGTTACTGTTTTCTAATGAAGGGCCACTAGTGCTGTGTTTCCTATTAAATTCTTTATTCCAATGCAATTGCATTTTTATCAGCATTCTTGTTCCTTGTCTCGAACACAGACCCCCCCCACTGGCCATTGCCTATGTTGCTAGCAGGTCTTTCCATGGGCCATGCACATCAGCAAGCTCCCCTCCTTGGGAACTGAGGAGATCTCAGCAGCGATTCCCCATGAGGATGTTCCTGCATACTACTGTTAGTGCCAATGATGCCGTGCTGCACATGGAAATGGGGGGACCAAGGGTTCAAAGCAATTGGACATTTAATGGATACTCACTAGGTGTATGAGGAGGGGAACCAATCTGGTGGGGATGGCATGCTGGGGCCAGAAAGGAGGACAGCCCATTTACTCACCTTCTCTCTGTTGCTGTGGGATCATAGGAGGCGGCTGTGGGAACGCTTGGCTAATCTGGCCATAAGCAGCAGGATAAGCAGCTATAGGGCAGAGAAAGGGAGAGAAGAAAGAGGGACAGATTTCAGTGCTGGGAAGCAAGGAGCTTTCACTCCAAACCATCACACCAAGCTAGAGGTGGGCTTTCCCCCTGCATTTTGGCTCTGTGAAGGGCCATCTCATGCAGCCTGAGATGTGGCGGAAGCACCATGGTCATACTCCAGGAGGTGCTACGTGGTCCTGAGCACGCACCCTCCCTTCAGCTTCATCATCAGTAACATCGGGGACAGCCACACAGTGTAAATGGGGGGTCTCTGCTGAGAGCTGTCCCAGCAGAGGTGCATAACCATCCCAGATGGTACCACGAACACAGTCATTCATGATCTCAATGCGTTGATGCCCATGCTGACAGCCACGCGCAGAGCACATGCACACGTTTCCCTGTGTAATCTCTCTGGCACCCTGATTAATTCACATGCTCATAAAAACAGTTCACACATGTGTTTCCTCCCTTACTCTAACCTTCGTATGCTCACACACTGTACAGGCACAGTTGCACATACACTCTCAGATATACATTTTCTTTCATGTCCATAGAGACTTCCTCTCTTTCACACAAACACAGTGGAAGCAGTGTGCAGCAATTAAACAATTTTCCCCACCTCAGCTCCCCCACCAAGCAGACAAGGGGAGCCATTCAGTACCACAGATGGTAGATGATGTGCCTTGCTGCTAAAAATACAGAGTACGGGTCGTCTGTGAGCCCAGAGAGAGGGGGATAGGGGCCATGTGTGTGCAGAGGGGTTAATTAACAGCTCAAAGGGTTGAGCTGCTTCCCATCTATCAAACCTCACAAGCAATAAATGACAATAACTAAAACACCGGCAAATGAAGCCCTACACGGAGAATTAAATTAAGTTTCCAGATACAGCGCTGACATGAGATAATAGCCATTCCTCAGCGGGAGCCTATGATTGCTCCAGTTACCACAGGAAATAATGACTTTGGGGTGGCAGCTTCCTCGCAACGTTGGCCATGGACACCTCGCGAGGGGAGGCTGAACACAGCGGGGTCGTGGTCTGCACCAGGTCACTTTGGCTGGTGTCAGTCCATCAACTGCAAAGGAGCTGCTCAGCATACAGGGTGACATGAGTGGAGGCTGACCCATTGGGAGCCGTGGAGAAAGCTGTTGGGAAGCCAGAAGTATGTCTGTGTAGCTCCTAAGCAAGCCTCAAACTAACTAGCTGGGCTATGGCCAGTGTAGACATACCCTAAAATCAGGGTATGTGCAGATATACCATACCCTGCCAGACACAGCAGCAATGGCTCTGCAGGGTCTGGTTGCCCATCTCACCTCCTCGCTGCAGCACTCAGGATGCCTGTTATAGAAAGTGGCCTCCAAATCAGTGGCCTGATTTTGTACTTGTGCACTCTGTTAGGCAGACTGGACCTGGTCCTGCTGATGAAGCTGCACCAAGGTACAGGTCAGTGAGAGCCTTTCCTTGGGGAAAGGAAGGAGGTTGCCTCCTTAGGGAGAGAAGACCCTGGGCTTTATGTTTGTTTTCACAAGAAGTGCAAATTTTATCTGAGAGTTTGTGGCCCTCTGCTCGCTCCTGTATCAGCAAATGCCTCCCTTCCCCCAGCACCCTCTGGTGTATTCAGAAATTAAAGGCTTTAGAGAAAAGAAAGGTTTATTGGGAGAAAGTGTTAATACTAACGACCTGCGTACTGCTGCACTCCAGCGTAGGCTTGCTGCAAGGGGTCTGCTGCAGTGGGGCTCTGTGCTGTGGAGACACAAGAGAGAGAAGGAATTAAGGGGTTAAAACATGACAGGCACTCTTCTTTTCTCTTTTCTCATCGATATGTGGTGTGAGACAGACAGACCCAGGGTCTGAAGGTCCCAGAAGAGGAGCAGCTCGCTCACTCTACAGACAGGACTGAACAGAGTCCTCCATGATGGCCAGGACGGCTCTGTCCCCCAGCCCCTGTGAGACTTCGGAGCAGAGGGCAAACAAACCTCTTCCCTTCTTTCCCAAGCTTCAATTATGGAGCCCACCTCTGATCATGCAAATTTTTGGCACTGCAGTAATCAACCCCAAAGAGCCCTCATCTTAAGCCAGGACCGACACTGTGCTAAGTGCTGTGCAAAGTCAGATCTCAATGACAGCTACAGTTGTATGGAACTTTCAGTCAGAGCAGAAAACAACAGGAGCATAGCAGGAGGAAGGAGAAGAGAACAAAGCAGTGCCTCCTGCCATACCGACATCCCTTCGAAGGACTGTGTTGCTGCCAGGCAGCCCTCTGTGAGAGGAGATGCTGCTTGGAGGAGAGGGGGACACTACTTGTCTGCTCAACGGAGGATGCTGTGAATCTCTGCGTAAGGCATGCAGTCCCTTGCTGGCTTCAAAGTGCATTTTCTCTCTTTACAAGTGTGCATTCCTCACCCATCAAACTGTTTATTTTTGTGAAAATTTGAAGTCTAGTTCAAATACAACCAAAGCTAGTTAAGATTTTTTTTTTTCTTTTTCCCCTTTGGTCAATAGGGAGAGAAAAAAAGAGAGAGAGAGAGAAACATGTTGGATAAGCTCTTTCTTTATCTGCAGCAATAAAAAATTTAAAGCAAAGCTTGGCTGAACCTGCAGTCCAAATGTCACCTTGGCCCTAATATTTCACTTCTTGTTATGAGTTTAATTTGTATGTATTGGTGCTGCACAGTTCTACATTTACACAGTCCCTCTGGCTTCTTATGTGTAGGATGATCCCTTAGGGAGCTGCCACTTTCCTCCCTCCATCCCACCTTCTTCATCCCTACAAGCACAGAGTAGGAGGCTGGAGGCAAGGGCTTGGAGGACGCAAAGGTGTGGGACTCTTGGAAGGAAGTCTAGTGCCTCTGGCCTGTCCCAGGAGAGACATTGACTGTATGCCAAACTGTGGGGGAGGCTGGCAAATGTGAGTGTTACAGACCCAAGGAACATGGGCGAAGTGCTTTCTTACAGATGCAAATACCAGCTTGAACCTTAACTTCAAAGATCACCATTGATCATGAGGGAAGCTTGCAAGGTCTTGCACTTTTCTCCCAAAATACAAGGAGGAATGGTGAGAAGACCAAATTTGGAGAGGAAAAACCCGATTAGCTGGCTAAGTCTTAGATGCTCCTGTTCATTATGGGCTTTATTGGATCACAAGGACTATGAGGATGGGGTATTCACAGGGAGAAATAAGTGGGATTACAATGTTAGGTTGGAATTTCTTTGGTTGAGTTCCTAGCTGACTTTTGACACATCCCTCAATATGTATGTATGTGAAATAGGAAAGCATTGCCTGACTGTAAGGATTTTCACCCCTTGAAAAGGGGTGTGGGGACAATATATTAAAACCTGTGGGACATCAGTGGAAGGCATAGTAGAGATTCAAAGCTATATTTTTAGAAAGTAGATGCTCCAGGAAACTGGAGGAAATGCTTGGAAAGTATAAGAACCATTTCCACTTATTCCTGCCTTCTTGAAGAAGGAAGCAACTAAAGTCTATTGTTTTTAACCTCTGCTCAAAACTGTTTTCCTCTAAAAACAGAATGTTGAGCATATTGCTCCAGAAGAAAACTGAATGGCTGTGAAAAGTTGAGTGATACACCAGTTCCTTCAATCCTTTAGGAGAATGGATCATAATAACTCGGACCTCCCCAAAATGACCAAGTCCTGTCAGGTAGAAGCTATCTCCTGAGGAAGGTCAGGGGACAGGTGGTAAAGGGAGCAAATCTGTATAAGGCAGCTATGGTTTTGCAGTCTGCAGTAAAGGAAATGATCCACTGTGTCTGCCCCAAAGCCAACTGCCCTTCCTTGGTTGCACTCATCTGTTTATAAAGCTAGAAGAAAAAGTTGTCTCCGCTGCTCAGGAGATACATTCACAGCATTTCCTTCCTTCCAGCTGAGGCTGGACTCAAGCATGCTCGTTCTTTCTCTGACATGCTGACAATTAGCAATGACTGCCTCTTCATTTATAACAGAAGGAGTCACTGAGCACTACCTGTCTGACTGTGGTCCTTTCCTTTATTCCTTGCTTTAGCTGGGCACACGCGGGAACTGCCCACTCTCCCAGCTATAGCTGAGTCTCTGTCCTGAACAGGACCGCCTGGCTCAGTGCAGAGATGCTCTCCTTACCCCATCTGTGGACATCTCACCCGCCTTCGGAGCCATACTCTGCCCATTGCAACTAAGCCATTCTGCTTAGGAAACATACAATGACAATAATTTAAGACCTTTAAGATTAAACATCAAAACTGGACAAATGCTTTATTTAAAGGGTTTGGGACAACAAGCCTTTAAATGCAGGCTTTTTCCCTCCCACACAAAGCTTTTAGAGTTAATTATTATCCTGAGTCTTAATGACTTTTCCACAAGCATAGTATCTAACCAGGTGTTTGTTTCTTAGGAGGCTGCCTTGTGTCCCAAATCACTCAGGGAATTTCCTCCTAGCTCACAGGACATGCAAGCCAGCGGGAAGACTGTCCCCTGTCTTCAGTCAGATTTGCTCCAAGCTGGCAATCACTTACTCATAGGTAGAGATGATACAGGGTGTCTGGTGTAACACACAGGACCCTAACACTGACCCAACCATCCCTGGATGCTCTTGAAAAGGAGCGAGTTGAAAGCATCCCTGGGCTGTAGGACTAGACAGCACAAGGAGGCAGCAGCCCCTGGCTTGGGTCTCTGTGTTTTACTTGTGTCATACCCTACCTTGGCTGTTAGGGAAGAGCAGTTGTGGTGAGTCACCACCTGCAGGAATTTAACTTTGCAGCTCTTAAAAACAAAGCCCTTGCTTGCTGAAGAGCTTGTCTTCCTTAGCTCAAAGAGTGTTTACTCAGCAAATGAAGATGTGACGTCAGTGCAGTGGATGGGTCCATGCTGGCCAACATGGCCTGTGAAGATGCAGGGACACAGAGTCCAGGCCTGGCTGAGTACCCCGGCACAAAGCCAAGGTAGCTTGGGCAGCTGTGAGCATATCTTCATGCTGCTGCTCACTCTGCCAGAGGAATTAAACCTAGTGAAGGACATAACTGCCTACATTCCCAGCTGTAGTGTGGATGAAGCCAATGGCTGGTATTGATCCAGAAATCTCAAGACACAGATTAGACATTTGAGGAAGTTGTAGCCATGCCGTGTTCAGTAAAGTGACTGCCCTCATACATGCTGATGACCCAGAAGTTCAGCAAGGGCTCAGATGTACGAGGGGCTCACGATCCAGAGCCAACTCGCGCCAGGGGTTACATGTGACTGTAGGCTGGAGCACACCATGTGCTAAAATTCAAAGTGTTGGGGAGACATGAATCGCTTATGCGTCTCAGCACAAGGACGCCATAAGGGAAGGTTGCTTTATTCCTCCATAAGATACACATAGCTTATTAAGGTGTGCACCCCTGTGGCCTTCACATACATCATGCTCTGCTAAGGTAGGAGGGTTACCCTGTCTCAGCCACCTTTTGTCCCCATCCAGATGGCTAGTCTTTTCTGTTACTGCAAATATTAGTTGATCATGAGCATGTGTGCTGTCTGTGCCAGGGTGTAAGCCTACTGTGGCCCAGAAGATCAATAGCTGAGTAAGGCCTGGTAAGAGCTATAGGAATATAGGAGGCACTAGATGAGGGACATGGATATCATAAAGCACCTTAAAGGGGCTTTTGGACTGGAACTAGCACAAATCTAAGTCATAACATTACCCAAAAGACCTTGGATGTGCTGGTGACTATCTGTGCAAATGTGACAATAGATAACATTTGAAATACCTTTTCTTGTGGTCAGATTCATGGAGATCTTAGTCCAACATACAGACATTTAACAGATTATACGTGATGTAATGTACAAACTGAGGATCAGCTGGTGAAGTCGAAGAAGCAGAGAGGCTCCTGAGAAGCCAGAGAACAACTGTCAATCACGTCAGGCCCGCTGAAGTCCAGGTAGCCTTGCTTCTTTGCAGAAGCTGAGGATCTGGCCTTGCCGTGGCAAACTAAAGGTGTACTGTGAAAACAGATGCTAATAGTAACTTCGTTTGGCAGCTCAGGGCAAGAGCCTTATCCCTGGACATTGCCTCTATATTAATTTGATCATTTCCATATCTCCATGGGAAAAATCCTGCTTAGATACAACTGTCTCTTTGTAAGATGATCCTGGCCAAGATGCCACAAGGTGACTATGGCAGATAACCTTCCATAAACCTGGAGACATAAAACAAGCCAATGACCTACTATATGGCCATAAATATAAATTTAACGAAGGCAGCACTTATTCATTAGGCAGAAGTCAAGAAATGACTCCCAAGTCCTTCAAAGAAAGTAGATCCGTTAATGTCACATTCCAAATCCTCTGCCTGATGCCAAAAACCAAGGATGATTTCCCAAGTCAGCATGAAATACCAGTGCTTTAAAATTAACACCAGGAAGCTTTCTTACTACTGATATATCTCTAGATTGCAATCCAACTTTTTAAAGGGGCATTCAGCCGGTGTTAGGCCTGACATTTAGCTTTTGTCAGAGAATGAAGGGATGGAGGTGGCAGATTGAAGCACGTTGTTAAAAATAAATAAAATTGGTTTAAGTGATGTTCTATAAAGAATCCCTCCTGAGATGTCAGTAACCCAGCTACGGTGTCTGGCCAAGATGGGCTGTTATATGGGTGCCCCACGTGAAAATGGTTGTAGGGGACAGGGGGCTGGAGTCTGCTGTGATGGTCAGGGGTGTAAATCAGGAGGAGCTGCACTGAAGCCAGTGGGTGTGGTGAGGAAAAAGGATGAT